GGCGAGTTCCGAAACCGACGCCCGAAAACGAAACGTAATCGACGGGCATCCGACACGGATTCAGAGACGGAATCCAAAAGTCTTGGGCGCCGAACCGGTAAACAAGTGGTAAACAAACTGTGTGTTTCCACTTTTTCCCGATACTGGAGGGTCCCGGATTTACCGTTTCCGCTTGCGGTTTGGGTTCTGGTGTTGCCGCCCTTTCCGTTTCGGGTTCCGTTTCAGCATCCCAGAGAACCCAATACACCTTAATTAAGGAATATACCTTAAATTGTAGGGGCCTGAATATTATGGATTAAGGTATATTCCTTAATTAAGGGGTATTGGGTTCTCTGGGATCCGCTTCGGATGCCGTGTTCAGGCCGGTTTCGGAACCTGCACAATTCGCACTTGTAGCCTTGTAGCTGGCTACAGTTGCTTTGTATGAAATTTCAAGGTACAGCGATTGGCCCTCAATGTGGAGTGTAAGATTAAATTTACTCAACTCTTTAAGCATGATATTTGGACTTTGAGTGGAAGCTACAGCGGAAGTCGAAACGGAAGTGCCCACGGGAGTGGAAACCAAAACGGAAGAGTAAGCGGAAGGGAAACCCAACCGGAACTACACAGGGAAGTGTAAACGGAAGGGATATCCCAAGTGGACCTGCAAACGGAAGAAATGAGGTCAGGAGCGGAAACGTGCGTGGCCCACTGTTGCCGAAAATGGGTGTCACAACCCTTGGGCTCAAGTGATCTATCGGTTTGGGTTTAGATTTCAAGGCTTCAGACATCGTATTTAGCACAGTTGAGGTATGGAGTCGACCCAAACCCTGAACGCTAAACCCTCGTGGGATGTTTCGGACCGCCTCTTAGGCCTGATGTTGCAGGATCGGGAGACCTGGTCCACCCGCTCGATCCTTCAAAAGGGCCCCTTAGGGTTTAGGAAGTTCAGGGTTTGGGATCGTCAGCTGTGAACAAAACCCTAAACCCTAAAACCCTAAAACCCTAAACCCTAAACCCTAAACCCTAAACCCTAAACCCTAAACCCATGCCCTGAGTTGTGCCTTGAGGCTCGCTGATAGCTCGCAGCCGCGGCATTCGAAGAAGCGACCACGGAGCCGTGGACTGGGCTGCAAGTTCGTTAAAGGGTTTAGGGTTTAGGGTTTAGGGTTCGTTAACCCAAAGGCTCCATGTACCTTTATAGTAGTTACTTAGGCCTTAAAGGGGTCCCTATGTAGGTACTCTAGGGCTTAAGTATCTACTATAAAGGTACATGGAGCCTTTGGGTAAAGGGAAACTGCTCAGGGCGGGGTTTGAGGGTTTTTGGTCTAAGGAAAGGAATTTCGAAGCCGTTACAATTCAGTTCGTGGTTGAGCTTCCTACAACGAATCTCGAGACTTCCTTTGGCTAGGCCCGGACTCGTGGACCTTGACTCCCAAAAACGACAGATGCGTCATCGTCATCATCATCATCATCATCATCTGCAGGATTGCTGCTTTGAGCATGCTCTCTATGCTGAATAGCTCTGCCGGACTTCTGTCCGGATGATGATTAAGATTATTGCTGCAACCACCATACTGTTAGAATGCATTCGTTTACGTACCAGTTGCAGTCGCAGTCGCAGTCGTAGTCGTAGTATGTCGTAGTGGTCCTAGCAGCAACAGCAGTAGCGGCAGCGGCAGCGGTACGTAGCAGTAGCAGTGGCAGCAGCAGCAACAGTAATAGTAGTAACAGTGGCTCGTAGTGGTAGTGCACATGGTGGTAGTACTACTATAGAGCAGTATCAGTAGTACTAGTAGTAGTAGTAGTAGTAGTAGTAGTAGTAGCAGCAGTAGTAGTAGTAGTAGTAGTAGTAGTAGTAGTATAGTAGTAGTAGTCGTCGTCGTCGTCGTCGTCGTCGTAGTTGTAGTAGTCGTCGTCGTGGATTAGTAGTAGCAGTAGTAGTAGAGGCAGCAGGAGCAGCAGTGGCAGAAGCAGCACCAGGCTTTTGTTAACTTGGCATCGGAATAATCAGGAACCGTACTTCTTCTTCGGGTTTTCAATTATAACCCCCAAACTCAGGCGTTGACGTAGTCCTTCGTGTCCCCTGTCATAGCATAAAGCCACGCAATGCCCTTAATTTCCTATTCCGTGTTTTAGTCTCAGCACAGCACGAATTTCGACAGAGTCAATATAATATACAACATGGGAAGCTTCATGCGAGGCTTCACTGGAAGCACGCGCTGACAAGGCACCGATTCCTTCGTGGGCTTTGTGCTTGAAGCTAGTGGCAAGACACGAATCCCTAATCCCCGAACCCCTATAGGTTCCATGTCAGGTTGTTTTACTAGGATGTCTCGGTAAGAAACCTCCAGATCTTGATGGTGACGATCCTCGCCAACACCACTGAGGGTCCGACTATGTCCCGGACGCTGTGTCCAGTCGACAGCGCGCTCTCTCCCAAAGGCGAACCAAAACCACGTCATGAGCGAAGTGGAATGTAGTTCTTCAAAGACGTCGTGCGCACAAGGAGCCGATAACCCGCGCCTCTCCATGTTTAGCAAAATGGTCTAATGCCAGATGCTGTCTGCGGCGCATGAAGTGGAGAAGTGTGTGTGTGTGTGCCTTCGCGAACCCAGAGGGTCCATATATACTACCACTATGGAATTAGGCCTTAAAAGACCATCCCTATTATGGTTTTGGGGACCTAATTCCATAATAGTAGTGTATATGGACTCTCTTGGGAAAGAAGGCACAGGCGCCCACCAATTATGCCCCGCACGGTTTGCTCGCAAACCTGTCGGCCGCTCACGGAATAAGGTCGCGATTGAGTCACACTGGCCAAGGCATAAGGCAAGGACCAGACAAGTGCTATGATGTTTTCTGGCTCAGGCCCTTTTCTGGTGTTGCTTAGGCTTTTATGTAAAATAGTTACTCGGTCTCAGCACCAGAGCTCTTACAGCACCATGGCGGGCCAGCCGGTGTTTCAGGCGATCCAGATGATGATGGAGTACAACACCTTGACCACTTTGCCAGAAAATTGGCTGCAAACCCTCCTGCATGTCAGTAGCCGCGTCATTGATTATTATGCCAAGAACGGCGAACTGCAGGCGCAGTCTTCAGCAGCACTTCGCAAAGAGATCAAGCGAGCCTACACCTCGTGTGTGGAGATGGCATCCTTGTTGCACGATGCGGCGCGAGGGCAAGGTAAGGTGCATGCGTTGCAGCTTCGAGATTTCCATGGAGATGAAGCGCTGTTGCAGAAGGTGGGTGAAACGCTGTCACAGAAAAAGCCCCTTTTCATTGAGATTGCCCAGATGGGTGGGACAAACCACTACTTCGTGGTGCAGGAGGTGCAAGGCCAAGTTGTGGTTGTGGATGCTTGGCAAAACATTCATCCGCTGCAGATCTCCTCCTCACAGAAGCGCTCGGAAGTTTGCAAGGCTCTGGCTGAGCTGTTGGGCAATGACCCCGTCAAGCGAGACCTGGCGGCGCTGCAGCTCTTCGGGAAGGATCATGGGTTCAAGGGCCTCAAGGCTCATGGCCAGAGAATTCGGCTGAAGGCTGTGATGCATGGCGAGCCTGGCAGCGGCCTGCAGCTTCCTAGCACGGCAGCACGCCGCCGCTCCATGGATGGGCTTGGGGATGCGCTGGTGGTGCATGGCCGGAATGGCCAGCAGTTGGAGCTGCCTATCAACCGCGCGCACTCGCTGGACGAGGCTTTCCCTTGTAGGGAACCCGTCGTGAGGACTGTCGACTCAGAGGTGCCGCCGCCCGAGCTCCGAAAGGCCAGTGGCGCTCGGAAAGTGGCGGCCGGAGCCGCAGCAGGCGCTGCCTTTGCGCTGACCTTTTCCCTCATTGATGTTTTTCGAAACCCTGCTGGCCGCACAACTGCGCAGAAAGTGGAGGATGTCCTGGTGCCCACTGCCATTGGCGCAGCTGAGGGTGGCGCTGCTGCTGCTCTTCTCGGGGAAGGGGTGACCTTGTGGGGCGGTGCAGCCACGGCTGGGGTGGCAGTGGTGGCAACTGGTGCCTTCGTGGCCTGGGATGCCATCAAGCTGGCGCGGGGCACCGGGACCACCGTCCAGCTGCGGCGCAACTTCGCGTCCAACGCCGGCGGGGCAGGTGGTGGCATTGCAGCCGGTGCCCTCTCGGGTGCTGCTGCCGGGGTTTGGCTAGGCCCTGTGGGCGCCGGCGTCTGTGGCCTGGTGGGCGGCATCGCCGGGGCCGTGGGTGGCGCCTTTGGGGGCTCGGCCTTGGACCAAGCCATCTGGGACAGCGCGGAGGATCGCAAGCAGCAGGCCGTGGAGTTCTTCGGCTTCAAGTACACGCGGTGGCAGCGGCCCACTCACATCAGTGCCGAGGCACTTCAGAAGGCCTACAACCAGACGTTGGCACGCAACGACGGAGACCAGGAGTGGCTTGGCCTTTGCAAGGAGAACTTCGCGCTGGCGATGGCCTTGCGCTGGCAGGAGGTGGGCTACATTCTGGATGAGCTGCAGAAGGCCGCTGAGCAATCCGGTGATGATGGCGCCCTGATGACCTAAACCCCCCAAGGCACGCACCCCCCTTCAACAAAGAATTGGCACAAGAGAAGAACCATATTGGCGCTGAGTGGTGCTGAGCTGGTCTCGATACTCCACGAACAGCGGAGAGTCGAGAGAGATGTACAGGCCATGCTTCAGCTCAACCGATCTCAAGTCCAGAAAAAGCAGAGTCAGGGCGAGCCCTCCCAGCCTGCATGTATGTGATTCGGTTAGGAAAGACTTGTCGGGCAGGTGACCTGCAACCTGCGCCTCCAGGTCAGGAAGTTAAACTCGTTACGTTTAGACGCAGATGTAGATATAGAGCACAGGTAGCAAGGCCAGCGCGATCCAAGCATAACGTCGCCCTCTATACTCAACCCATCATCTCTAAACACGTTCAGCTCTCAGGAGTGCATGGCTTGGGGTACGAAGATCCTATCTTGCGAGTGGCAGCGAGGCTACGAACGGAAACATGAAGAGCAACCCTCATCTCAAAGTGACCAGGTCTCGGGGGCAAGGAACTTTCGATGCTTGGTCACTGCATGATATACCTGAGCCTCAAAAGTGTGTAGAATAATAGTTTTTTGGAGGTTTTGGGCCATTATTTTACCTACCTTTTGGGGGTTTAGGTGCGGGTTTCCAGAAAGGTGCCAGGATTGTTGCTCTGAAACCAAAATAGCAGCGCAGCTGATTATTAGGGTGCAAGTGCACGCACTTTCGACCTCTCAGGCGTCAAATCCCAAAAACTCGAACGCTGAATGCTCAAGGATAAAGCACACGGCATGAACCGATTTCCCACAGCTCATAGGTGTAGCACCTGTAAAGGCGCTTCTTCTTCACCTCGGTGGTGACGGCGCCGAGAAGGTCTTGGCACGAAGGATCGATCTCCCCGTCTACGGACAGGTCTTTAGGGTTTAGGGAGTTGCAGTGCTTCTGGCACACTTGCCTATGTAACTTTCCCGGCCGACACCCCAAGTCCGGATGCAATAAGGCTTAAGCAACACAAGCTGTGTTGATTAAGTACCATGATACCAGTAGGACAGTTGTAGGTGTGGTTCGTCTTGTGACTTTGCATGTTTGCATCTCGATGTCATTGAGCATGACAGGCTCTTCCCCCCCAACCCCGCAATCCCGAAACACCAAACCTCACCAAAACCCGAGACCGTAAATCGTCAAGACTTCAGGAAGAGGGAGATCAAGGAGAAGCAAATGATGGACAGAATGAACGAGTCTCGGAAGTTGGCCAACTCGGATTCAGACGCTGATCAGAATCAGTGGGTCGTGCGCTGTGGGCGTTCTAGGGTCTTCGTTCCACCGTGTAGGCCCGCGGGGTTTGGGTACATGAAGCTTGGTGGTTGTAACCTCATAAACCCCTGAACGCCTAAATTTCTTAGGGCTCATGATCTGAATCCTAATATGTTGGGGCTATAGGGCCAGGGTTTCTTGATCAGGTCCTACATTTCCACCAATGAGGTCTGCAGCATTCTGTTTTCAGACCGTCAGTGAGACTTCTGAAAATTTCTGAACATGAGCCATATCCCGGGATCCCCGAACCCCAGTTGACCGTCACATGCTGCCAGGAAAATGTTGCAAATAGAAGAAAAGCTGCCGACATTATCTCTGAGTTGCACCTCGGCCATGTATGGATGGTCCGAATTCTGATTTCCGGGGCTTTGATCGGATCTACAGAGTGGAGAGCCTCATATATACTACCTGTGTAGGTTGGCCTTTCCATCTTGTGTATTTTTATGCCTACTTTGGAGGTTTGTCCAATCCTGTGTTGGGATGTTACATACTCCGATTTGTTGGGCCAACAGATTTTTGACATTCGTGGATTTCTGGGGGCGAGTTGGAGTTTGAGGGTTTAGGGCCTGAGGGCCAGGGTTAGAACCGTGATTTTCCGTCTAGTGAGACGATGTCGTTGATGAGGTTGGCTTTGGTCTCAGAAGTCGCCCTGCGCACCTGCTCTCTTGCTCTATCTTTCTCTCTGGCTCTTACGGCCGGCGTGCCGAGTAAGTCTGTTATTACTACTACTACTACTACTACTACTACTACTACTACTCCTACTACTACTACTACTACTACTACTACTACTAATACTACTCCTACTCCTACTCCTACTCCTACTCCTACTCCTACTCCTACTCCTACTCCTACTCCTACTCCTACTCCTACTCCTGCTACTACTACTGCTACTACTACTACTACGACGACGACGACTACTACTACTGCT